TGATTCATATATGTTTCTTGATAATGGTTCAAAATTTTAAATTCAGTTAAAACATGCCCATCACACACAATTCTTTTGAGGTTGAGAGCAATGTTTAAAAACTCGAGAGTTTAAGTAGAATCGGTAGAGGTTTCAAAAAACGTAGCTCGAGGATCGTAAAATTCTACTACGGCTGAAAAAAATATTTTTATAGGTATAATTACATACACATGCTAAAAAATTATAATATATAAAACAAAATAAGTTCACATTCATAAGCATAAAAAACTTGCTTGAATGTGAAATAGGTAGAAGAAACTTGAAGGTGAAAGATAAAAGAGGATATAATTCTATATAAATAACTTGTGAAAGAGGAAGAGAAAACTTGAATGAGGAAGTTATGTTTTCTAATGGTATATTTAATCCATTCCATGATACCATAAGTAAATTTTTCTTGAAAAAATGGATTGATTTAAGGTTGTCTTTACACATTTCTAATTGGTAAAAATAAAATAAATTAGAATTTAAAACTCATTAACGACTGACCTGGCCCAGTTCACATACTTAGGTTTTTTTTTTTTTTTTTCTTTCTAAAAAACCTTTGAAATCTGAAGGCAGAGACTTGAAGGTGAAAGATAAAAGAGGATATAAATAACTTGTGAAAGAGGAAGAGAAAACTTGAGTGAGGAAGTTATGTTTTCTAATGGTATATTTAATCCATTCCATGATACCATAAGTAAATTTTTCTTGAAAAAATGGATTGATTTAAGGTTGTCTTTACACATTTCTAATTGGTAAAAATAAAATAAATTAGAATTTAAAACTCATTAACGACCGACCCGGCCCAGTTCACATACTTAGGGTTTTTTTTTTCTTTCTAAAAAAACCTTTGAAATCTGAAGGCAGAGACGCCTAAACATAGGAACGAGTCAGCTTTTTGAACTTGGACGAGTTTACCGAGTTTGAGTCTCCGAGTTCGCCGCCGAGTCAGCACGCCGGCATGAGTTTGGGACGTTAACTCGTCCGTTTTAGCGAGTTAACTCGCGATTCTGCTAATACTGGTTGAGAGTATAAAAAGAGTGGAAAGTGGAAACCAACTCAGGTGGTTTACATCTTAGCTTGTATCATAGCCCATGTTTGACAAATTATCAACAAAAGTAACATAATACTTATACCTTAAAAACAAAAGGAACACTAGTAGAACCCTAAACATCAAAATGAACAACATCAAAAGGAGGCATAACTTTGCCGTTTATATGGTTGGAAAACGAAACTCTAACATGCTTTTCTAGTTGACAAGACTCACAATGTAAAGACTTTAACTAAAGAAGACCAAACACTATTTTCCTCAATTTTGACAGAACCGGATGACCTAAACGTCGATGGAGGAGATTGAGAGATTTAGCTGCAACATATATAACAAAAGTAGAAGGATGAAGGTAATAAAAGGCCACGAGATTCAGTTTCGGCTCCAATCTTCTATCCTATACTCCGTTATCAAGATGGAATCAAAAATAAAAGTTATGGCATAGTTTAAGGAATGAGTTGATTTGCTTATGGCATAGTTCAAGGATTGAGTTGATTTTCTTATAGAAATCAAATTGAAGAGACAATTAGGAATCAATAAAATAGAACTCAAATTTTGTTAAACCTTTCATATGACTTAGCAATTACGTTTTTATGTAGCAATTATTATATTATTAAGAGTGGTTAGTGGGTAATTATTATATCATTAGGAGCAGTTTCATTTAATTAATTATGTAGGTATATTTTAAGAATGGATAGGAGAAGATAGATGAGAGAGTTCATTATCATGGAGTTTGATATGAAAATGGCTATTTTGACATTAGGGGAGGTGCAACCTTCGAAGTTCTGCAATACTATTAACTATCATGTAACTCGAGGGATTTTCCCCCAATTTTAATATTCTAAACAAGTTGATTTCTATCAAACTCAGAGTTAAGTTGTTTTTTTCATCAAACTCAGAGAGTAAGGGAATATGTGAAACCCGTTCAATATCAATTGGTTCAACTTTAGACTCCTCCACAACAACAGTGATATAATGCGGCAATTTAGGTGTTGATAATTTAGAGAAAAGTGAGAAATTACCAATTACTTGATCTAAAGCACCAAAATCCAAAACTCATCCAATATGTGTAAAGTGAGATGTGGCAATTTAAGTGTTGATAACTTAGAGAAAAGTGAGAAATTACCAATCGTTTGATCTAAAGCGCCAAAATGCAAAACTCATTCAATATGTAAACTGAGACTGGCTACCTGGATCAAACTACACCATAATATTTTATTATTCAACTTGTTAATCTCAAGATCTTTCTTTACCGTTTCTCATATAATTTTTTTTAGGTATTCTTCTTCATTTAGTTGTTTGATTACATTCCATCTGATCTATTTTTCTTACTCCAAAATTCATAGGTCTTCTTGCTACATGTCCAAATCACTTAAGTCTACTATATGCGCTACCCTAACATTCTCTTTAACGTTTTCATTTCTAATCTTATGTCGTCTAGTTTTACCAAACATTCAACGCAACATCATCATTTCTGCTACGCTTATTTTATTTGTGTTGGTTCTTTCTCCAACATTCTGTCTCGTATAACATTGAGCGGTATTTTGGTGTCACATAAAACATCTGAGACCTTCTCCATTTCAACCACACAGCTTGAGTTTGTTGATTTACATCTCCTTCTCAATTGTTTTGTACTATGAACCAAAGATATTTAAACACGCTTAACTTAATTTTTTTTTCTTTCTCAATCTTCGTTCAATCACTCTTTCTCATACTTTATGATATGACTTATAGGTTTAATCCCCTTATAATTTGCTCAGTTTTGTATATCCCCCATGTTCTTATAGATTGAAATTAAAGTGCTTCTTCATTTCAACAACATTTTCTTTGATCTCATATTCTCATACTTTCGTTAAAAAGTTTGCTAAGCCATTAATGCCTAGACTTTTCTACACTTCAATAGGTATGTTGTTTGGCCTAACCACCTTGCTATTACTCATTTATTTCTATGGTTCTTTTACTCGTGTTTTTTTTCATAATAGTAGTTATAGTTTTAATCCTCTTCTCTAATGTCTAGGCTATTAGAGTCCAATAAAATCTCATATCCTTCATTAAGGAAATTGTAGAAATAAGTCTTCCATCTCTTCTTTATATCCTTTTTCATGAACCAAAATTTTTCCGTCTTCATCTTTAACATACTTCATTTGATTTTTCCTTATACTCATTGGCAGAAAAAGTAGTTTTAAGTTCAGATTTTGACTCAGTCCCTAAAGGATTGCACAACATTGAAAGTTTTGTTCGGAAAGCCATGCAAACTGATACACTGATCTTTAGTGTGCCCACCTTTCCTAAAATAAGTACAATGGAGACTACCTCTTCCACCGTAGGGATTGTAGCATTTGTCAAATCCTGATCTCCAACAGGCCATACTTTCTAGGGAGATTGTGTGAAGGAAAAACACCTTGAACACATTGTCAAGCTTTTTCAGTAAGATCATCATTAGCCAGCATAAGTTTGAGGCCATTGGTATAGACTAAGCTCGAACCAAAAATTCAGATAAATCTTGATCAGTCATCTGAAGGGTAACTGCAGACAAACTCATACAATCTCTAAATATCGTTAGCATAAAGATTTTTTTAGGAGAAGAATACCAATTCAAATAGTTCTTACCATTCAATTCTGTTCCTTGAAATGCAGATAAGATGACTCTTTTTGTAGAATCACCCTTTGCAGACAAGATGTTTCAACCAAAAAAAACTGCAACAATACCAAATAATGAAGTCTGGATCTCAAAAACACTGACCAAACCAACAGGCCTGATGTGGATAGACTGAAAGAGTGAAAAATCGACGCTCCCTTCCAAGAGTTCCAGAGATTGGCATCTTCCTATTAACATCCAGTCCCAACATAAACTCCTACAGAAAAGAAAAAAAGAATCACCTTGTACTCAAGGTGAAATGAAGGAAATTATTCCTTCAAAGCTGCAACTGGTTCCAAAGTGACTTCAAAATCTTGAATTTGCAATGTCCATCATCTTTTTCTTCTCTGTTTTACAAATTCAGTGGCTTTCTCACTTCATTTTCATTGACTGCAAGACTTCCTTCATTGCAATTCATTTGGACATGCTTGTACATTTAATCGTCACACCGTTTTCAACTATTTCCTTCATTTGCCTGAGTTTCCAACCACTCCAGCCTCTGTTGTTCAAGGCTCTTTTCCATCCAGACTTCCCCTCATGGATAACAGTCCCATCATCATTTCATAAGGATTTTGGGCTCCTCTCAAGGAGTGCAGTAAGAAATTTCTCCCAAGTAGGTTCTACTATACAGAATCCATACCATTAAAACAATTTGCAACCTTACCCTCCATTGCAACTATAGCTGCCTGAAGTCGTTCGGCATCTGTAACTCCTTTCAATTTTATTCGCCCAACCATTTATTTCATCTCATTCTAATGAAGGAATTTCCATTCTCCTCCCTTTTCTCCTCTTCAAAGGGACTCAGGATCTGTTTCATGACTAGATTCGCCGTCTGTATTGCGATACCACTGGGTAGTGAGTTTCGTTTAGTTTCAATGCTTCCAAAATTTCCTGCAAACTGCCTTCTATATTTTGCCATGTCTACTTCCAAGACCTGCCTGATTTTTAAACCCATGACGCAGAGCCTCAATTGTTCCATCCAAGATTTTTATGCACTGATACCAGAGTTAGGAACCGGTACCAAAATACATTTTAATTGTAGAAATTACTTTTATTGATGGTAGAATATGCTCAATGGAAACAAAGTTGCACACACTATAATGTTATCATTTGCGCTGATACCAGAGTTAGGAACCGGTGCCAAAATACATTTTAATTGTAGAAATTACTTTTATTGATGGTAGAATATGCTCAATGGAAACAAAGTTGCACACACTATAATGTTATCATTTTCAATCATAATTTGTCTATTGTTTTGGAATTTTTACACGCATGCTTTTTCATGTTATGCACTAGGTGGTTATTCCATTGCATCAGCTGAGAGCAGTGAACCCATCCACAAGCAAAGTCAACCCTTCCGAAAAATTTATACAGATTATCTCTGTCGACAACCATGAATTTTGGTTTATGGGCTTTGTGAATTATGACAGCGCTGTTAAACATATTCAAGAAGCATTGCAGTCTCGCTGATACACGCTGAACTGAAAAGCGTCATGTATTATACCAAAGATGAGGTCTGTGTGATAAACTATCCTCAATTCACAACTTGAAACATTATATCTTTATACTGTAGTTGGTAAGTCTAGTTTGTGGAGCAGTTATAGTTGAGATCGAAACTTATTTCTTATTTCTGGCATTATGTGTTTTACATGTATGGGAGTTAATTGATTTGTTGTAAGTTAAACCAATGTATTTTCATTTCTTATATCTTATTCTATTCAATTGTACTCTTTTTTTTCAAAGCATTTAATATTTACAATCTGGAGCAGGTTTTGGGCGAAATATTTTTCTAGTTTTAACCTCTAGTTATTAGGGGAAGGATCTTGGTAGTTTGGAGTTGGGTGATAAAAAATTGATTCACAAATTTACACAAAATTTTGTGATTAAGGGTATCACTTAGGAAACTGGTATTGGTTAACCATTCCATCACAGATCATTTTGTTGGAATTTAACACGAGAAGGTCATATGTGTTGGTGCAAAGATAGAATAAATGATGAAAATAGGGAAATATTCTATTAAAGAGAATGACGGCAGAAGAAACAGTATTAAGAGTTACAATGATTGTCACCCTATTTATAAGCTAAAACTAGGGTTACTAGAATAAGATAAAATACTAAAATACCCTCTAACAAACTTATGAGCTTAAGAAAGTAATATAATAAAATATGAATTATTACTAATACCATCCCTTAATTCATATTCCATCAAAACTTGTAACACCAATTCCATCCCTTAATCTGAGAAATTGATCAGTTTTGATAGCTTTCGTCAGAACATCTGCCAACTGCTTCTGAGTGCTGCAGTGTACAACTTCTAACACTCCACTCTGAACTTGATGTCTCAGAAAATGATACTTGGTCTCAATATGCTTGCTTCTCCCATGCAGCACTGGGTTTCTGGCAAGGTTGATTGCAGACTTGTTGTCAATCATCAACTTCAGAGGTTTGTCTACCTTAATCTTCAGATCCTGCAACAGATTCAGAATCCACACAGCTTGGCATGCAGTAACAGCACCTGCAATGTATTCAGCTTCACAGGTTGACAACGCCACAACAGGTTGCTTCTTGGAACACCAAGAAATGGGACCTCCCAGAAATTTGAACAAGTACCCAGATGTACTTCTTCTGTCAACTCTGTCTCCACACCAATCAGAGTCTGAATAACTCAGAAGTTCTGACTCATTATTTCCTCCAGAGGGAAATAACACTCCATACTTCAGAGTTCCTTTGATATACCTCAGAATCCTGACAGCAGCTTGGTAATGGGACCACTTAGGTTTACTCATGAACCTACTAACCATCCCAACTGAGTAGCAAATATCAGGTCTGGTATTGCACAGATACCTCAGAGAACCAACCAACTGTTTGAAGGTTGTAGCATCCACATCCTTTCCTTCAGAGTCTGAATCCAGTTTCTGATTTGTATCAGAAGGTGTGACAGCCATCTTACAATTCTTCAGATCAAATCTCTTCAGAAGTTCTAATTCATACTTGAGTTGATGCAAAATGATACCTTTCTCAGAATATCTGAACTCCATCCCTAGAAAGTATGTCATTTTGCCTAGATCAGTCATTTCAAATTCATTCATTAGAACCTTCTTGAACTTGGCTATCTCCTGTTCAGAACTTCCAGTCAGCAGTATATCATCAACATATAAACATACCAGAGTCATATTGCCTTCAGGAGTATGCTGAACATAGACACCGTACTCCATCTCACATTTCTGAAAGCCTTGCTTCTTGAAAAATGAATCAATCTTCTGATTCCAAGCTCTGGGCGCTTGTTTCAGTCCATATAGAGCTTTGTATAATCTGTACACCATCCCTTCCTGATTCTTTTTCACAAATCCAGGAGGTTGTGACACGTAAACTTCTTCTTCTAATGGACCGTTCAGAAATGCAGATTTTACATCTAAATGCATCAGAGGCCAATTCCTGTTAGCAGCTATTGCAATCACCATTCTGATTGTTTCATGTCTTGCTACAGGTGCAAACACTTCAGAGTAATCCAGCCCAGGTTTTTGTAGAAATCCTCTGGCTACCAACCTTGCTTTATGTTTGCCAATTGAGCCATCTGGCTTTAACTTCTGCTTGAAAACCCATCTGACGCTGATGGCTTTCTTGTCTTTTGGAAGTTCTGTCAGCTTCCAAGTCTTGTTTCTCTCTATAGCATCAAGTTCTTCTTTCATGGCCTTCAGCCAGAGCTTCTGCTTAAGAGCCTCCTCTGTACTTATAGGTTCAGAGTCTACTAACATGGCACACTGAATAACTTCTCCTTCAGAGTCTACTTCAGTGTCTTGCAGCATGTCAAATTCTGCAAATCTTCTGGGAACGCTTCTGATTCTTTGTGGTCTCTGAACTTGTTCAGAGTCTTGAGCTTCAGAGTTTCTAGCTTCAGATGATTGACCTCCAGAGCTTTGACCATCTTCAGAGTCTGACATATTTCCAGAGTCTGAATTGCCACCAAGATCTGGATTGCCATCAGAGTCTGAATCATCAGAGTCTGGGTCATCTGGGTCACCTTCATCTTCTGAGTCTTCTTCAGAGTTTGAATCAGTATCAGAGTCAGAGTCAATATCAGGGTTTACTTCAACTTCAGAAATTCTTAACTCTGGCCTTTCTTCAGAGATTCTAACATCAGAATCAGATTGAGACTTATCCCAATTCCAAACTTCTGATTCCTTCACAATCACATCTCTGCTGAATTCAATTTTATTGGTTTCTGGACAATAGAGCTTGTATGCACCTGTACTGTGGTACCCTATCAGAATCATCACTTTGCTTCTATCATCCAGCTTCTGTCTTCTGGCTTCTGGAACATGTTTATAGCAAACAGAACCAAATACCTTCAGATGACTAACACTTTGCTTGTCTCCAGTCCACTTCTGTATAGGAACTATTTCCTTCAACTTCTTCGTAGGACATCTGTTGAGTACATACGTTGCAGTGGCAACAGCTTCTCCCCAGAGCTTTTGAGGAAGCTTCTTCTCCTTTAGCATGCTTCTCACCATATCAAGCAAAGTACGATTTCTTCTTTCAGCAAGACCATTGTGTTGAGGGGTATAAGGAGCAGTAACCTCATGCTCAATTCCATTCTCCTCACAGAACTTCTGGAACTCTTTGGAGTTATACTCACCTCCACCATCAGTTCTAAGAATCTTCAACTTCTGACCACTCTGATTCTCAGCCTTCATTCTGAACTTCTTGAATTCATCAAACACCTCGTGTTTGAACTTAATAAGGGATACCCATGTCATTCTTGTGAATTCATCAACAAACAACACAAAGTATTTATTCCCTCCAATTGATGCTACTGGAAATGGACCACACACATCAGAGTGTACAACTCCCAAGGCATGTTTTGCTCTTGGAGCAACTTCTGATGCAAATGGCAATCTTGGTTGTTTTCCTTCCATGCAAACTTTGCATGACTTTTCAGGCTTCTTAATTGCAGGAATTCCATGTACCAATTTCTTTGAATTCAGATGTTGTAAGCTTCTGAAGTTCAAATGACCAAATCTTCTGTGCCACAACTCACTCTCCTTCTCAGTACTCGTTGCACTAAGACACTCTGAGTCTGCAGTTCTGAGATTCACCTTGAATGTTCTATTCCTTCCCTGTTCTGACTCCATAATCAACTTCTGATTACAGTCATACAGCTTCAGAAGATTGTCCTTCATGGTAACTGAGAAACCTTTCTCAATTAATTGTCCCACACTCATCAGATTGCTTCTGATGCCAGGTACATACCACACATTCTGAATCAATGCTATTTTCCCATTGTTCAGAGTCACTCTGACATTTCCCATACCTTCTGCATTAAGATATTTGTCATCAGCACATCTGATCTTTGTTCTCTTTTCAGAGTCAAAGTCAACCAGCCATTTCTTGTTTCCAGTAAGATGATTTGAACAGCCAGTGTCCATATACCACCAGTCTGTCAGATCATCAGATTCAGAGGCCATCAATAGCACAGATTCGTCATCAGAACTTCTGGCTATATTTGCTTCTTCTGATTTCTTCTCCTTGTTTGACCAACAATCTCTAGCAAAGTGACCAAACTTCTTACAACAGTAACATTGGATCTTTTTCTTGTCATACTTCTCTTTTCCCTTCTGAGCATTCTTTTGTCTATCAGAGGTTGAGGTTTCTGACTTCTGACCACCATCAGATCTTCTCCTGGCTTCTGACTGCTTCTGATACCTCCTATCAGAAATTGCTTTCAGAGCCTGCTGCTCTACTTCCCTTTCAGAAGTTCTCTCAGTCAAACGCAACTCTTGCGCTTCTAAACTGCTCTGCAGCTCTTCAATTCTCATTGTGCTCAGATCTTTGGAATGTTCTATTGCTACCACAATGTAATCAAATTGAGGAGTAAGGGATCTCAATACTTTCTCCATGATTGTTTCTTCAGAAAGAGTTTCTCCACATGCCTTCATCTCATTAGTGATCAGAATCACTCTGGAGATGTATTCAGAAACTTTCTCATTATTCTTCATGTTGAGATTCTCATATTGCTTTCTCAAGGACTGAAGCTTCACCTTCTTCACTGATGCGTCACCACCATAACATCTCACCAGAGTGTCCCATGCAGCCTTTGCTGTTGTAGAGTCTACAATTTTCTCAAACACGTTTACATCCACACATTGATGAATGAAGAACAATGCTTTCTGATCCTTCTTCCTTACTTCCTTCTGCGCATTTTTCTGTTCATCGGTTGCATCTGCTGCTACTGGAACATAACCATCAGTGACAAGATCTAGAACATCTTGAGCACCAAATAGTACACGCATTTGGATCATCCAACGATTCCAGTTTTTACCATCAAATACTGGAAGTTTGGTGTTCATGTTGCCGTTTCCGTTCATCTTCTACTTTGCACAATACACTCAGATTTCTCACACAGTGTTTCCCAACCCACAGAATAAAATTCTGATCAGATTTTGTTCAAGATTCAACATGAATCTAAGAAT